ACAAAGAAGATCTTCTTTTAATCTTGAATCGTTTCTTAAATCTTGAAAACAATTTATTTCAACTTTGACATAACTAAAAAGTCTTGATTATTAAAGATAACGTTATCCCTTTATATAGTTGGTTTTATATAGTATACATTACATTGCAGAATTGACTGGCAAATGAGTAATAATATAATCCAAATGTAAGCTTACTTGCTAATGATAAAATCACGATCAGCTGGATTGAAGTAAACAAAAATCAGCAGTAAATGCCTTCTAATGCTATTCTTATGGAGAACATTGTCCGTTATATCTAATTTTGTGTTAAGATTTTGGGAATTTCACTATTTTTCCCGCCGTCACGGGATAAAGACCTTTAATTTGAGCCCTCTCACGTCGTTCTACGACTTCCCAGTCGCCCACAATTTTGACGCAAAGAATCGGCTTACGTAATTAATATATAGATAGAATAGATTTCTTGTATATTCCCATGAAACTGATAATTTACCCAGCACATTAAGGCCTTTATTCCAATTATCTCAGTTCGTAAACCATACATACAATGTGACGATAAAATATCAACAAAATAGAATGTAGTTTGATGTAATCCTCACGACATTTCATTTGGTCCATTGACTTTAAATCCAATAATTGTAAAAATTATTGGAGCTTTGAAAAAAACTGCATATAAAATCCTTACACTAATAAAAGACAACGTCATGAGCGCGGGAAATGAGCTACAGCGGCTAGGGCATAGCCACATGAATACAGAACGGAATGAAGGAACTAGAACGGAGAACTGGCAACAGCGCACGCGAGAAGTAGGGGGGGCGCACACACCGCTCAAGCACTACAACGCATTAGTGGCATCCTGTCCACACACTGTTGATATCTACCGATTTGTGGCATGGTGCCACAATTTAAAAACTGGAATGTTAGATGTTAAAATGGAGTGTTCATTAAAAATATCGATGCAGACATGTTTCTACCACCTTCCTTCATCCACTGGTGGCCGCAGGTTGAAAGATGCCACAATTAGGTGTTTGCGAGTATTCGGTAAAACCCCGTATGGGTGTGTGTGTGTGTGTGTATCTGTGTGTGTACACATGTGAGTGTGTTGTAAAAGAGAGCTGTAAACATTGGTGATGCTATTCAGTCAGGTGACAATTGTTTACTCCAATGACTCATAACTTTGCAGCCAACGGTATTCATTAACATGAAATATTATGTAACTATGTGCTCTCATCCTTACTGCAATAAAAAACCTTTCTCTTAATTATGTTTTTTTTTTTATCTACTACTCATAGTAGGTACCCATTTAATAACAGACAATTCACACAATTTAAGCAAACAACACATTTTAATTCAAAGGCCTGAGTAGGTATATCAATGAAACAAAATAATTTACCGGCCCTTTTTTTAGTTGACAGTTTTTGTTCCTATGTTAAGGTATTCTACAAATTATTGGTTTATATTACAGTTCCACAAAGATTGCAAATTTTGTTAATCATAGTTAGTGATGTGTTTAGTGCTATTAGTGATGTGTCGGTTCCAAAAGACCATTATCAGTTCCAACGGTTCTTGGGGAAATAACCGGAACAGAGAACTGTTGGAAAATTGTCGGTTTCTTAGGTCCAACGTTCCATCAACTACTTTACATATTTTCTTTAAAAGATTTGTTGTATATTGTTATTTAAATATTAATTACCACCCTCTAATATTTTTGGGTTAGGTCAGGCCAAAAGTTGGCTCAAAGGATGTAAACATATTTATATTTTTATTAAATTCATAAATTTCATTCAAGATCATATCTTTAAAATTCGTATTAGGCCCATTTAAAACCATTATATTAATCCGAAATAAATCAAATATTACAATTTTCGAATACAAAGAGACATGTAGAATGGAACCGACGAGTCTACAAGTATCATATTCAAGGTCCCAGGCAAGGGACGCACAACCTGACGTCTACAGTGAACTGCTGATCGAAGTGGCAGCCAATCACAGCATTGAACACCAAAGGGATCATCTATGATTGGACACTGTAGGCGGGGTTAATTAGAATCTGGAAAAAGGAAGGGACAGAAGCAGCAAGATGGAGCAGCAGGGGGTCGTCATCCGTCTTCGAGGTCCAAGATCAACCACCGAGTCATCCGCCAACGGAGACAGGGAGAGGCCTGGACATCCACGACACAGGGAATCAAGATCGTCTCATCGGTATGTTCCTAAATTCAATTAATTCCCAGGACAACAAATTTTAGAAGAAAGAAGATAAATTTAAATTATATAAAAAGGGCCTAAGTTAAATAAATGCAATTCATTCAAATTAAACCTAACATAAAATAAAATTAAAAACCTAAATAAATTGATGTTATAAATAATAAATAATAATGAATAAATAATTTCTGCTACACAAAAAAAAAACAACAATATAGCCTTAAAGGTTAAACCTGTAAAATAACGTATTTAATCCTATATATTAAAACGTGACAGTGTTTTTTTATTTCACGATTCTGAAACAACCACTTGACGGATTTTTATGATTTTTGTGTTAAAAGAAAGATAATTTTGAGAACTAGGGAATAACGAAGCCATAATTTTAGTTTAGGGTTTCAGTTTTTTAGAAATTAAGTTTTAATTTTCAAAAAGTCTAGCAGAAATCGGACGAGTTTAAGTCGTTTTAGTGGCGGTTTAACTAACAGCTGGTTTCTAACTGTCATTGAAATGTTTATGTTACATGTTGTTTGTATACAAAAATATTGATCGTCAGAGTTTTCCTTCACACTATTTTACTTTAAAATACAGTTTATTTCCTACCGTAAAAGATCTATGTTATCAGGAGATTGTGTAGTTCTGAACTAAACATTTGAAACGTATTAATCAAGTTTTGTCATAAATGCAATCCGTCTAAGTATAAGTGCTTAATCCTTTTAAGATATAAGTGGTTTACAAGTTGATAAATCTTTTTCTAGATGTTTGAATATAAGTATGACTGCATACAGTACTCATTTTATTCGTAATGAAAATGTCAGCTGGTGTAGTAGGTCTCCAGAAAACTGACCAGTAAGCTGCAGGGTGTCAGTAGAAACCAAAATCGATTCATACCATATCATAACTATCCCAGTAGTACTGTATGATTCAGAAACTTGATAAAGGGGTACATTCCAAAAGTAGACCAAAAGGCTCGGATCTCGGATGGGCTGGGCAGGCTTTGCATGGCGGAGAAATGATACTTCAACTTTTAAAAGTGTATTACAAGGAGTACTACAAGGTAGACGACCACTTGGAAGACCAAGTAATGAAAGACATCTTCAGACTGGTATCTTCCTTAGAAATGGCAGGGGATGGAAGAGAACGGGAGGCCAGGATCATTTTAGAGGTTTCAGTGGCCAAGGTGGTAAAATAAGGTACGGTAAGTGATTATGAAGGAAGTGATTATGCAGTGGAAGGTGGTATGTAGCTACTGTACTCAAAGAGAGTGTGTGTGAATCGGCCACCGAGTTGTAAACTAGCCGTTCTGAATCATATTCAGTTTTAATTGACTACTCGATTCCCGTACGTAGGACGTGCCAACAGCTCGTATAAGTAAGTTCTCATTTAGTATTTCGTTTTCAAACGTGTATTTTTGGTAGTTTGCTAAATGTAAATATTCTTTGTTCGTAAAATGTATAAATTGTATAGAAGATCCTTTGTTCTAAGTTTATGAACTGGACTTTGGCCTCTAAGGAATGTCTGTCTTAGTCACTAACAAGACTACAAGATTGCGCCACTCATCCTACACTCATCTCCATTCATACTTGGCTTAAAATACCTACTATGTATGGTCGCCATTTCATTGAACAGTATTAAACGGCAAAGAAGTAGATTTATAACTTTTATCTACATCTTATTTTTTGTAGAAAAGGGTTCAACTAACGTCAATTTGTTTTAACATTTGTATTATATTAATCACATCTGGATCTGAACTTATATTTTATCATATCCAATAAGTTTAATATCTCTTATACAATCTATATGTCTTCAATTATCATTTAATACTGGGGCCCCAAAATAATTAATTTCTTTGATTTATGTGTTATCTGAATATTTGATTCGGATATGATAAAATATATTGTGTTTTAAAGGGTTATAAATCAGACTAAATAGTGAAATAAAATTTTGTAACTCATTCATGGTGTCAGTTCAATCAGTTCCTGAGTATTCTCACATATACCAAGGGAGTATACTGAGCTTAGTAGTCATTTTGTATTCTTCACATTTAAAGTAAAAAACAAAACCCCACAAGTTTACAAGGATAAGTTTGTGCCGAAAATGATTATCGGGCCAAACTTGTGTTAGGCCTAAGTCAAGTTGAGCTGAGTGGTGCGCATATTTCCGCAGTCACGGAAATCAATTGCAAAAGATGCGTGATCAAAAATTCAGGATTTTGACACCTGCCGGTATTATGTTCACAGTTTGCCGCAATCGAAGATTTTATCACCATGAGTGAAGAAGATGTTCTTCATTTTGTCAAGACCGTTGAAGGGGTTCACCATGTTTCCCTGAACGAGGAAGATATTCTAGATTTTGCCGTGGCTATAGACAATGTTCAGACGATCTTCACTATGTTTTAACAGTCAGGTTTTTCATGCACTAACAGAGTTTAAAGAACGTTTACATAAGCAAAATAGGTACGACACTGGGTGTTAAACCCACCAAAATTTGTCTTTAACCCGTATTACACAAAAATCCATATGGAGTACAACCAAATCATATGAGTTTGGAATGCTTACCCAAAAAGTGTTTGTGTACCTCTTCTAAACCTCCTTGAAAAATGCCACAGGCATACAGAAAATCCCAATAAAGGCACAAAAATCAGGTTTTCCTCATGAAATTTAAAAATGTAGACATAATTCCTGGAGTTTTCCCAGTACAACAAATTCATGCATATCCCCCAGAATTCCCTGGATCAATAATGATTAAGTACCAGTTTTACAAGATTAGATGGTTGTTTCACCAGGTGCAATACTCCTAGTTACCTCTCAATGCCTGTCCTAGGCTCCACAGCTCGTACAGTCTGTGTCTGTCGCTGTACTAACACTACGTCTCCAGTAGAGTCCAGATCTGTGTAGTTGTCACAACCTCCCAGAGAACATTCGTACAACACACGTCCACTCTCAAGATCAACACCGTACGTTCTGCTCTCTCTTCCACCTACAACCACATGAGGATGGTTAGTAAATATACTACTTTGGTTTTTCATCTTTTAACATCTCAATTTCATTTTCAATGTCAATATAGGCTATAACTTAATATATGTTATAAAAGATCAACTAAAATTCCTTTTAGCGAATTTCCCATATAAGGGAATAAGCTATTACCGTAGTACTCATGGTAAGACCTGGACCCGGGACCAATTTTAATTTTAATTTTGAGGTCCCTAGAGGCTAAAAACACCATCCGTTTATATATATGTGTGTCCCTATATGTGTGCCCGTTAGCGCGATAACTTGAGCAAAAATGATCCGATTTTGATGAAATTTGGTACAAACGTGTAAACCTACATTTATTCGAACGAGTTCGCGAACCAGCATGATCGGACCATGGGAACGGGGGTTTATGGGGGGTTTTATGGAAACTATGGAAACTTTATGTCCAAAAAACATAAAATTTTGCAATTTCTTTCCAAACTATTTTGTAGAGCTTAAAAAAATAAATAATTTAGTACATTGAAGCGTTATAATGCGCCTAATGGTTACGGAGAAAATACAAAAAAATTGAAAATCTAAAATTCCTATGTTATTCTTATGGAGAATAAGTAAACTGTTGTCGTTTGCTTGTTTATTAACATATTTTGCCCAAATTTGGAAAATGTTTTTATTTCTTACTAACTATTAACATTTTACATAAAAAAAACACTTTTACCCTCCCTGTTGCAGCAAACCTAAGTGTACGTGTTAAACTGGTTCTATTTAAATTTAAATAGGGAATAAATGTGATATATGGAGACATTTTAGTGTAAATCCAATCAGGCAAATGGAAATTCGCTTAGTCAGCAGGTTTGCTGTGGCGGTGGTATTTTAATATCATCTATGTTAACATTCAATTTTGAGAGGTTTGTATAGAGAGTATTAATTTCTTCTTTTATCCATATTCTTTTGGCAGTTTCCAAGGTTTTCAGAGCTGCTACTGATTTTGATTTAGTTTTCAATTGAACATAATTTGGTGTAATATTTTCTTGTAGGCATTTTTTGTTAAAGTAAATGTCTTCTTTTATGTTTCTAATTTTCAGTGGTAGATACTTCATTTTGTGAACCAGATTTGGATGGTGAGCCTTTATATTTTGATAGTTTTGTTCACTTTTTAGGACTACTTCTTCAATAAATAAGTAAAATAATAAAAACCAGAAAAAATGGATATAAAGGAAGAACTACAAATCTATCTACACTCAAAAGAATACGGCAACCAAATTCTTAATATAATGCAAAAACAAAAACAAAATCCAATTCATGAAAATATCAGACAAATCAGGGAAGAATCTTATACATTCACATGTTAAAAAAATACACCTATATAACCATTTAATCAAAATTTACTATGCATTCAAAACATATGTTATTAACTATTTATTTATTTGTTTGTTTACATACTTTTATAATACTGTGATCATGGCCTTAATGCCGAAATACGTATTAGTTTAATAAAAATTTATTTCAGGGTACTCTGGTTTTTATTATTTTACTTATTTATTGAAGAAGTAGCCCTAAAAAGTGAACTAAACTAATAAATGAATATATATATATATATATATATGAATTTGAACGGATGGTGTTTTTGGCCTCTAGGGACCTCAAAAGGAAAAAAAATCGGTCCCGGGTCCAGGTCTTACCATGAGTATACTACGGTAATAGCTTATTCCCTATTTGGGAAATTCGCTAATATTCCCTATATGGGAAATTCGCTAAAAGAAGAGACTTTCATCCAGATTCAATTGAAGAATTTTCCAGTTACATAGAATCATGGAGTGAACCTATCATAAAAAAGAAAAAAACCCACAAAAAGAAAATTAATAAACTTATTGAAATTAAAAAAAACAAAAATTAACTCCGAAATTACTGATAATTATTGTTTTAAGACAAAAATAGAAAATTTGACAGATATTAATTTCAATGATGATGAATGTAAAATGCTCCAAAATTCTTTAAAATACAATGTGAACCTAGACTACAAAACACAAGAAATTGAAGATTAACTTATTGGAATCTTGATCTGTACTCTAGTTTTCTAGGAGTAGGCCGCGTAAAATGACATTTTGGCGTTACAGACAGAATGACAGAAAAGACAGACAAACAGACAGACAAAAATTGAGATAAGACTCGTTTCGGCTTTCTTAGGCAATGAAACGTAAAAATAACCAAAAACTGCATGATTCTACGCAATGTACAGACAAAACTGTAATTTGATTTAAATAGATTTATATATGAGTGCTCTTTTGCGGAATAACTCAGAGCAAAAATGATCCAATTTGGATGAAATTTGGTACAAATGTGTAAACCTACGTTTATTTGAACGAGTTCGCAAACCAGCATGGACCGGATTATGCTAATGGGGGTTTATGAGGGGGTTTTATGGGGTCAAATTGGGTTTTACTTATGTTTGACCCTAAAAACATAAATTTCCCAATTCCTATCTAAACCATTTTGTAGACCTTAAAAAATTAATAATTTAGTATATTGAAGTGATTTTGTATGCCTAATGGTTACATGAAATTCCAATAAAGTGTAAATAAAAAAATCCCATGTTACTCCAATGGAGAATAAATAAACCGTTGTAGTTAGTTGTTTTTGGATATATTCAAATTTTCAATGAAAAACACACCTCATTACAACACTTGTAACAGCAAACCTAAGTACGGTACCCATTTAAATAATGTTATTTAAATAAGAAATAAATCTGACAATAGAAATAAATAGAAATTCGCTGAGGCTGCAGGCAGGTTTGCTGTGGCTTTACCATCGATCTCTATTATTACAACTGGATCGTGCGCTGTACTGCTCAGAGATACACACGTATCGGTCCGCCGCTCTCCCCACCACGTAAGGTTGTTGCTGTCTCTCTCTTACTAATTACGTCTTATGGCGTTTCCGCGTTTGCGCTCACAAAATACGCTATATCTCTGTTCATAGTGGCTCGATTGTCAATTTGTTTACACAGTTGTAATCTGCATGAAATTGCGGAGATTATGGTATATGTTTTATATTAAAATAACTCTTTTTTTAGATTATATTAATTATAAAATCTACTAAATACGGTTTGTTATTGCCACTTTTAAATTAATTATAAAACTGTTATCAATACTAATGATTAATTAACTTAATTTAGCATACACACTCATGTTTTTAAAGTTTAATCTTATGTTTTTTATGCATTTAACGTGTAGGAGAGGACCCATGCTGAACCGCAGCTTTAAAATAAATAAATATATTATCCAAGAAAATCAAATTTATTAAAATTTTTTTTTTTTTCACCTCAATCATTGAAATTGGTCGGGTAAAAAGCCAAATGAACTTGGAAAAGAAAAACCTAATTTGTTTACAAATACAAAATACAAATACATAACCAATTGTATTTGTATTTTGTATTTGTAAACAAATTAGGTTTTTCTTTTCCAAGTTCATTTGGCTTTTTACCCAACCGATTTCAATGATTGAGGTGAAAAAAAAAAATTTAATTTAATGAATGAAATTAAAGGTATGCACGTAGATTTTTTTTGCAAAAAAAATTGTTTAATTCATTTTTGAATTCTCACATCATTTTAAGATGTATTTCACAGTCTATAATTATAATCCTATATTTTGGTTAAAGAACCTTCTGTGAAATGCCGGCTTTCACATAAGCTATTAGTTATTCAAATCGGACGAGTTTCAAGCAAATGCAAGGTGAAGAACCAACATAAAAACTATTTGCATGAGGTTTTTCTGTCCCGGTCGCTAGAAAAGTCAAGGGTCTTCAAGAGGTATTGCAGCCACCACTACTCTAATTAATAGAGAGTAGGCCCTAATGAGATAGGGAAGATAAATAATAATTTTTATGCTGAATACTTAAGGTTTATTTGAACTATTAGATGCGAATGTGTATTTGCATCAAGAGACAAACACCGAGACATGGCCTTGCCATATAAGTTATTTGCATCAAGAGACAAACACCGAGACATGGCCTTGCCATATAAGTTATTTGCATCAAGAGACAAACACCGAAACATGGCCTTGCCATATAAGTTATTTGCATCAAGAAACAAACACTGAGGCATGGCCTTGCCATATAAGTTATTTGCATCAAGAGACAAACATTGAAACATGGCCTTGCCATATAAGTTATTTCTATCAAGAAACAAACACTGAGGCATGGCCTTGCCATATAAGTTATTTGCATCAAGAGCCAAACACCGAGACATTGTTATATAAGTTAATTCATTATGTGCACTACTGCACTTTTTGCTGCTACTGCACAAGAAGGCTCTAAAATGATCATCCTAACCCACTGCCCATTGTTAGTAAGCTGAAAAAGTATAGCTTTTGTTATATTGGAAATGGCATAATAAACAAATTTATTTCATTTCATCAACAGATTGTTTTATTTAAAAAATTGTTAAAATGGAAACAAATCTATCATATCTATCAATATAAACACACAAGTACATTGTTACAATAAGTGGTTCTCGTGGATATAACACAGGCCTGTGACAAAAGGTATTTATTTAATTGTATCGTCGTAGGAGCTGGTTGGAGAACACTGAGGGCGACAGCTTCTGTAATTAGATGATCCTTGTACCTTTGGACATGGACTCGTCCTGAGGGGTATCAGTTAAAGATTGACTTGTATGACTAACTTGAGACATTTGGATGTGTGAACTATAATTTAGTTTTTCATTCAATTGAGACAAGGGTAATGGTGAAAATCCATGTGTGAAGAAGTGTTCTAATTCTTCATCCGACTGCTTCAGAACGCATAGCCTGTCAAAGAGTGTGAGGGGGTCAATAGTCACCTTTATATTGCCAACATTCACAGTATTTAACTTCAGAAGAAGAGATGCTACTTTATTCTTCCTTTTACATCTGACTTGTTCATATTTTTCTTATAAAACTCTCAACATCGCTTCCTTGTCAATATCTCTAGCCATATGACAGTTGACAGTTTCCCTCCAACAATTCCAC